ACGTCATGAATATACATTAGTATAATTTCAAATATTGATTGTAATATAAAATTTTAAATCTAACAGAAAGAGAGAAGAACTTCTACGTGCTTATTTGAAAAACAGTTAATTTTATCATTACGACTTCTAAATCGTGTAATTGTTAAGACAAATGAATAATACTCATGAGGAAATACAATTGCGATTATAGAGATGCAATAGACATATATAAAAGTATCTATCTACATGTTAATATTTTTTAATTATTTAAAATATTATTTATTAATATGTAGTTAAGTTCAACTTTATTTTAAATATGTTTTACTATTTAAGGTATAACTCCTATATACTATATATTAACTCTTTTTTATTAAATTATTATTTAAGTTGTTAAATTTTATAATTACGATTAAAAAATTGTAATAGAATAAAAAGTTGTTTGCTTTAAAAAAGTAATTACGAGATTGATCTGTAAAGTCTATTTGTTTATAAAAAATAGCATTTAAAAAAAAATTATTCCTGGAATACATTCAATCCACGCCTAGATGGGGATACATGATCCTTTCATATAATAATATTCCTGTTATTTATCTATCTTTAAAATAGAAAATACATATGTATTTTTTGTTTTAGATAATGTTAATAAAATTCAGAATATACAAAGTAAAAAAAGATGTTAAAATAGATTCTAATAGACAAAAAATTAAAATAGAATATGAATGTATTACTTTAATACTTCAATATTTTAAATTATATTTTTTAACTTTTGATTTTACATCTTTTAATATTATTACATTGATTATGATTATTTAATAATCTTTTAATTGCATAAATTAACATGATTCTCTTGAATCAATTAAAACATGATCTCAAATTCTGAATCAAATCCTCCGAGAATAAGGAATACTTATATTCCTTATTCTTATTTCACTAAAATAGAAATTATTCTAAGAATTATTATTATTTTTTAATTTGATCAATGCAGTTAGACTATTAAAATATCTACAATATAGCATAAGAATAATTTTATTTTTTCTTTTATTATTAAAAATATATTTAATAGAAGAGGGATAAAATGTTCTCAGTTTTCTCTATGCATCCAATCAAATATTAAAATATTTACAGTAAGTCATGTAAAAAACACATATTATAGTTGTAATAATGAGTCATAATATCATCAAAAACAATACATGTATTGATGTATGAGTAAAAATATTATCGATATTATCGATATTACAATAATATTTACGAATTATTTGTAGCATTGATGAACATAACATTTATTAAATGCCATTTATTACTGCGTAACAAAAATAATTTCTGACTGATAATAACATATAAAAATCCTATAATAAGAATGTGATCAAAACGGATCAATCTTCTGATCCAGTCTTCCATTTGTTCATTTTCATTCATTCAATTCATTCAGTGTGTTTCAAATAATTTTATATTATACATTTATAGAAATGAGAGAAAGAGAAAAAGAAAAAGACAACTATAAGATAAATGATTGTCAGTAATATCATCAACTCATTGATTTTTTTTTTGCGCATGCGTATATAGGTTATCTTTTTCTATCCATTATTTTTTATCTGCTTTGGCTACACCTATTATGAAATCTCTAACGAAATGTTATCTTTAAAACATTGATATGTAATCACATTATTATAATATCAAGCTTACGCAAGCATTTAACTTTTATCCAGACAAGAGAATCGTTAAATTCCAGTTAAAAAGTCATAATTTAACTTAAAACATATTTGTAAGTAGTAATCAACATAGTTTTATAAACAATATACGATGTAATATCTGACTGCAGACTACAATTAACATTAAAAAGATCAATTATTGACGACATCGTCTTCACAAAGAAATCAACAGTATACCAGGTAGTTCCAAAATTTTCCTTAATTTTACAAATCATTCATTACCTTGTCACAATAGAATTATATATATATATATATA